TATTTTATTTGAATGAAAAGTTTATATTCATGTACTTATTATATTCTTATCTATTATATTAAGAAAAATGTTAGTAGGCAGAGCCAAATGATGCTCTTATTCAACAAGTATAGAACAATATTTTCAAGAATCAATTGAAAGACTTTCTATCAAATGAACATGGAGTTTATAACATCATACACTAAAGAGAGATGGAGTGGAGGTGGATCACAACTTCGATTTGGGATGCTTTTATTGATAATGTATGGAGCACTCTAAAATGGCAAAACATTTTTGCCAAAACCAAACAAAATCGTCAAACACAAAAGAAGAAAGTATTACGAAACACACTGGCAGTTCGATTACATTTACTGTTCATAAAAAAAGAATGGCATATAAATTGTGTTGTTATTTTTATCATCACATTTCAATTTAAATTGCATTGTTACATATTTCATTGAATATGTCTCTAAACGAATGTAGTCACTTGACTTACAATGAAAACCCACATTTACAAAAGTTTTCAATCATATTCACAGCATTTAAGAGTACATGGTAATTTCATTGACAACAAGTCCAAAGTTGTCAGTGTATGTGACTTTCAAATGAATTTGTGAATACTTTCAAATTCCTGCCTTGCTTTATTGAAATAGATAATGTCTTTTGTGTTTTAAAATGCAAAGACTTTGTACAAGGAGCAAATTATTGCATATTTTGTTTTGTGATTCTTGTTGTGCATTATGCTTGTTGATGAAACACTTTTATTGTTGTATATTTTGTTTTCCAATTTCTTGTTGTGTATTGCACTTACTAATGAACTACATTTATAGTAATTGAAAGCCTTATATGATGTATAGAAAATTCTTTATTGAACTAGGTAGTATATAGTGTGTATTACGATGCAATGACTTTGTAAATGGTCAAAACTATTGCATATTTTGCTTTGTGATTCTGATTGTGTACTGTGATTGTTGATGAACTACTTTTACTATAATTGAAAGCCTTATATGGTTTAGAGGAAATTTCTTTTGAACTAGATACTATATAGTCTGTATTGCAATGCAATGACTTTGTTAAAAGTAAAAGCTATTGCATGTTTTGCTTTGTGAAGATGGTTATGCATTATGGTTGTTGATGAACTACATTTATAGTAATTCAAAGCCTAAAATTTGTAAGAAATTCTTTATTGAACTAGATATTATATTATGTGCATTGCGATGCAATGATTGAAAGGTGAAAACTATTGTGTATTTTGCTTTGTGATTCTGGTTATGTATTGTAATTGTTAATGAACTATCTTTATAGTAAATCTTGCCTAGATTTTTTTCTTTTTTAAGTAAATCTTGACATTGTGAATTGTTTAAAGTTGTCTTAGTTTATTGAACTATACAAGTAAAATGGAATGATAATGGTTTTAAACTTTTTATAAGATAACTATGCTACTGTATTATCTCAGAAATATGGTGAAGACTCTTCCAATCATCCATATTTCAATCCACAAGCATGGATGAAGCTATTGGAGAGGTTAAAGCTATACACACTCATGTATATGGCTTTGGATCCTCATATAGATCTAAAGAGTTACTTCACTTGAGTCAACCTAATTCTACAACAGCAGCATCTCACTCAGTTTGTGGGTTGTCATATGTGACTTCTCAACCTCAGATACAACAATAAATTGACGAGTTGAGGACTGAGATAAAGGTTGAGTTTAGGTCTTTCATGGATCAAATAATACAATTGTTGGGGTCTAAACAATTTCTACCAACACAATCTTTCAAACCTGATAACGGCGACACAGATTCTGGATCAAGAGATGCATAGCACAATGAAATATTTTTCAGACTTGTATTATGGATTTTATGGATTTCAATACTATATTTTATGGATTTTATCTTTATAATTTGGATTATTTATAGAATTTCTATGGATATATATTTTATGATGTGGATTTGATATTTTAACGAATAATAGACAAATAATAGACTTTTAAAATAATTACACATGTTTTATTTTTAATTTAAAGGTTTCATAAATAATTATGATGGAATTAATCAAATTACTGATGAAATTGGATTTTACTGATGGAATTCTCACTTTTAGTGATAGAAATAAGAAATTGCTGACAGAATACTGACAAACTTACCAACGAAAATCAACCTTTACTGACCAATTATTAACCAATTACTGATGGATTACCAATAGATTATCGATGAATTTTTGACATAATTATTGATGAAAAAAATTTTGTTGGTAATATCTGTTAGTAATTACCGACAAAATTTTTATTTTGCCAAAGGAAAACTATTACTGAGTTGCTTACTATTGATGAAAATTGTTGTTAGTAAATTCCATTGGTAAAACTTTTATCGATGGAATTTAAGCTATTACTGATGAAAAATTTCATCGATAAAGCCTTTTTTTATAGTAATGTATATGCCCTAAAGCCAATCAATTGACTAAAATACATCAATCTAAGTTGCCCCAATCATTATGTTTTAGTGATTAAAAGGTTTTTCTTCATTAACAAGCATGAAGATAAAGAGTTATCAAAATACTAATTTGATGAAACCATGGAATACAATGGCTTTACAAGCTAATTGTAAAGAATAATAGTTATGAGATCCTTATGCATCAAAGCTAGGTACCAAAATTATTTCTAGTCATTGTATTGTTAAGACAGGGAATCAACAACGTTTAAAGACTAGTACATGTTAAGCTTCCTTACATGTGAAGTAAGTAACCAATATAGAAATACTTAAGGATAACATGTGGGTGCTTGTTATAATACAAGTTCACTGAACACGACCCATTACAAGAACTCTATTTAGTATCTCACTTAAGTGTCAATCGAAGTGTTCTCATATGTTAGTCGTGCAACTAGTCCTTAAACTTGAGATACTAGGTCATCTTATATGTGAGTCATCATACTTTGATTTTACCTTTATGGGTTAGGGTGCCTTATTCCTAAAAATGGTGCTTTTAGGTTTAGTTTGAAGAATATGAAGGTGGATGAATAGACAAGAGAGGATCCATCACCTCAAATGATATGAGGGAACATATCTCATTTGTTCTTGGCTTTAGTTGACTTAAAAGTTTTATGTAGTATGATGATAAATTTAGATGAAATAGTTTCATGCTAAATTTATACATGTTGACTAAAAGCTGCAAGAACTAATGTGAGAGATTTTATAAATGGACATTGCACCATACTTATAGCCTTTTGGGATATATAGTTGAAGGATTGAATTATACTGATAGACTGAGTACTAAAAGGTTAAGTTGAGATTTTTTTTACTCTCCAATATTTGAAAGGTTATGATACTATTGGTAAATGTTGCTCATGATCTATGAATATATATCAACCATTATTGATCAATTTGATACTATATTCATTTTCAACATATTGAAAGCTTAATGGATCACATACATAAGGTGACATTGCCAAATTAATATGGGATTAATCAATTAAATTAGATTTAATTGAAAGAAACCAAAAATAAAGGAATTAAAGCTTACAAGGACTAAATTACAAAAATTACGTCCGTAAGTGCAAAAATAGGAATTAGAGAGAAATTATACATTGATCGAGCCCCACATCTTAAGACACTTAAAGAAAAGTCTACAGCAATTGAGAATTGTAAAAACACGTCCCACAACTATAGAGTAGTCTCTTTAGGAAAATGGCAACATATTTTGATAGACAAGAAAACTATTTTATTTCTCTTCCATCTTATAACCTTGAGTCATAATCTAAGATAGGATCGGTTTCTATTCGAAACACCTGCTAGCATGGGTTCAAATCCCTCCTTGTGAAGTTTTGACAATTATTGTTGTGTGAATTACCGTTGAAAGTCAAACACTTAGGTGTCTTGAATCTTGATTGCTTTTCAGTTTTCAGACAAAACCAAGGGTTGTAATAACAGTTGATTACGATATTTTGAGTTTAGCTATGATTCTTAATAGATTCTTACTTTAAAATTTTAAAGTTACGTGTATATTTAGGTATGATTCTAAACATATTCTTATTTTAAAGTGTTAAAATTACATGCATAAGTACAATTATAATCCAATAATTGCTCTCGATGTTGTATGTTTAATTATTCTTATATGTTATCTAATTGATACACATGATGTATAACTGTGTTAATTTGTAATCCATGACATGGAGACCACTGGTACATCAACAAGATTAACTATGAATATCAGTAATGGACTTTTTTTTTTTTTTCACAGCGTACTTTCTTGTGCATACCTTTCTGGAACTTTTGTGATGCCTCCCTTTGTACTTATTAGCAGTAACAGGTGGACAGTTAATCACTAGTCAGTACACAAGATGAAAAAATAGATGCTTGAATTTATTTTGTTAATTACTTTTTTGTTTAGGTCAAGCAGTTTGACAAACTAAAATGAATTTGACAAAAAAAAGTGTGGATCCTGGCCAAAAACCCAACAATCTCTTCCAACTCTGTAAAATGAGTATCGTTTAATTATGGTATAACGCAAATTGCATGTGTGCATAGTATACAGATTTGTAACATGAGGACAACTCATGTTCTATTTCAATTTCTGTAACTTGTTTGAACTGGGGAACTAATCAATATCCTCGGTAGAGAGCACACTAGGATCATTCCAAACCCCTTTCTGATCTTTGCGAGTTCTGGTATATCAGAACTGAATACTCGGAACTCGACCCTGAGTTCAGCAGTTCAAAATCCTGCAATTCTTGGCGTAAGAAAGAACAGCTCCAAACTTTCTAGTAAAAGCTTAATAACACTAGACTCCTTTCATACTTCTATCGACTGCTGTGAAGGCCGGGAGCTACAATTAGGTCATTCAATTTCTTATTGTAAGACAAACAAAATCCAGCTAATGCCAATAAATTAAGCAGGACAAAATATGGTAAATCTTTCAATTGGCAGAAATATAAAACTTCCAAAAAATAATTTGCCATATTACAAATTAGTGGATTGCCAAAAATTGTAAACATACCCAAGTCTTGAGGATATATGACAATTGAATCAGTCTCTAAAGTTGATTGGTATGGTTTCTTCTGTGAAGTATTCTTTCCTGACAGTTTCCACAGAGCAAATATTCACCTTCAAAACACATAAGACGATATGACAAATCCCGGAAAATAAACAAATGACAGTAAAGGCAGCGAGTATACATTAAAATTGCATATTTTTAAGTTTCAAGGTTCTTTGAGTTGTCAATTAGATGTGGCATTAATATCTTATATGTGAAAATTGTAGAAAAGGAAACAACAACAAAAAACAATTAACCAATTAAAAACACAGTCTAATGGGGAGCTCCCATCAAGTCATAATTAAGAGCCCTTACTTTTGTGCCTGTTATATTGAAATTATATCACAACATACAAGAGACCTGCAGCTTTTATCAGAATGGCTTGAACGGTATGACCTAAGGAAGCCTTTAACAGATCATTTAAGCAAACGTAGTGTGAACAGTAAAACAGAAAGTGAGGCCTTCAAACGTCAGTAAATAGGAAACACAGTTGAAATTAGAGTGCATAGTAGAAGAGTTTTAAAAAATAAACATAAGTACAAAGAAACAGCTTATGAATCATATGTAAATTTTATAAAAAGTATTTGTCATTTTCAAGCAGACAGAAGGCGACAAGGGCTAGGAACCATACTGACATTTTAAACCATTTAAATTTTAGCTTTCAATCACACAAGTAACTGCCTATATAAATTTTAGCTTTCAATCATACAAACTGCCTATCTCACTAAATAATCCTATTCATGCTTATCTAAATTTCCCTCCACAGTTTGTACCAAAAAAAAAAACCCTCCACAGGGGCGTGATAAACAAACGAAAAATATATATATATATTTTGGTCATAGTAGAGGCGTAGTTTGTGAGGCATGAAAGTGCATTTGGAAACTAAAGAATATTAACTTTAAACCTAAACAATATATGCTTTCTAGAAATAAGTTCATAGGTGGTGTGCATACCAGAGAAGAGCATGATTTTAGCAAAGGCTTTGCTACTTGCCAAATAGGCTTACATACAAAAGGTGCTTCGACAAAGAGAACATCACCCAACCGCTTTGGATAGTAATAGTAAAATACATCAAACTGCCAAAAAGAGAAAAAATCAAGTCAAATTTATTTATTCTTAATAGTATTCTCTGGGAACTAAACTTATAAATTGAGCGCATATAAATATCAGTTATTGTGACAACTGAAAGACTTTCACAACCTTAGTATCCAATAAAACAAAAAAGGTTATCATGACCTCTCTCTCCCTGTATTAAGGATTAGAGATATGCTTGTGTTATATTCTATTACAAACAAACACATGTAAACATCAATTGTAAGAAACACAGAAGTTAACATTGATGCTTTCCTTTTTCTTTATCTTTAGCCAGCCAAACACATTTATTTAACAGCTTAATGTTGATATAATCGTAAGGAAACAAATAAAATGAAGTTCCAATAGTATTCTAAAACTAATTTGTAAATTACCAAGAAAGTTAAACTGATATCTGCATTTTCAGTGCCAAAGCCCCGGAGATCAAATATTTCTAGTATTTGCTCTTTCCAAGATAGGAGCTTGCTCAATGCCTTCTCAATAAAAAATACACATAGTTTCTCATTCTCAAGATCATCATGCACCTGTGACAAGGACAATAATGATTTTTGTTGGAAGCTTAATCATCTCAGAAGTATATTTAAAGTATAATAATACAAATTAAATTCTGTTTTGACTTATTCTGTACAGAACATGATCCTTAAAACAAGAAGGTTTGGTCAATCAAATATCTAGAAGAGAGCGAGGTGATTTATACTTAAGGAGGCTAGAAGAGCTGTTTCTAGACCCCAAAAAAGAAAAAACAGAAACTAATTCATAAAGCAGAGATGCATGTCTCACTTCTAATCTAGACTCCAATTCAATGGTCTAATTAGGCGATCAATTATTTGAAGAATGGTTTCAAATCAGTGGTGCAGGAAAAATAAAGCATAGCTGTCATGAATCACCATAATCAGGGTGAAAGTATCCTAGTTCCCACATTTGGTAATTATCCACATTTATATAAGCAAACTTTGTATTTCTCTTTTCTTCAAAAATACCCCCACAAAATCTTTTGTTGCATGTGCATTAAAAGTATCAAACAAGACAAGAGTATCCTTCAAGGCCAAAAATTCTGAATAGACGAACATGCACTGGCCAGTGATCTTTGAAACTTACTGCAGGAAGGTGCTTGGATGCCACCACAATGAGTACTGGTCTGTTATTAATGTCAAGAAAGTCATGCACATAGCCTTTTCAGTCTCAGCTATTCTTTTCACTGCATCTTCAGACAAATCAGAAACTCCAAATTCTTGACGCTATCTCTAGAAAAAAAAGCTTTAAGGACAACTGGATAAGGGTTTCAGGTACCAAATTTCCTTCATTCTATTTCATGAATTGCAACTGAAAAGTGTGGTTAAACAGTTCTGTTCTGAGTTATAAGCCATCTTGACCAAAAAAGGAAATAAAAAGACAAAGGTATTTTTTTCTTTTTTTTTTTTTTTTGAAAAAGAATACACAAGTGGTCTTCCATGAACTTTATATTTTCTTAAACTAAAGCCAGTGAATGCTATTAAGGCATCATTTAACTACGTTGAGGGATCAACTTAGATGAAGTCAAAAAGGGAGGTCCACATGCTCAAAGAGCTTCACACGTGTGGCTCGTTATTTCTCTGAATTCACCACTTTTTCCTCAGCAAGGCGTGCCGACGGTCGGCTGTTTGTTTCCCGGGAAAATGGGTGGTAGAAAATGGGATGAAAACTGAAAACATATTTCCTTTGTATTTGGTTGGTAGTTGGAGTTCGCTACTCGGTAGTCCCATCCACAAGATGGACCTGTGGGCTGCACTTTCCCAGTGAATTAAGACTATAATAGTGTTAGGGAATTTGGTCCAAAAGTCAGTCCATATTGTATGGGTAATGGGCCTTTTAATTTTCTGAACCGTTTTAGGGCTTTTGATCTTATAAGATTTTTTTTTTTTTTTAAGTAGGAGATTGGAGTTTATTTATTTAGTTATTTATTTTTACAAATGATTGCAATATAGGAGTAGAAAAAATGAGTTACACGTATAGATATTTAAATTTTAAATTCATTAAATATTATTTTAATTATATGAACCAATTAAAAAAAAAATACATTTTATACGCTTATCATTGAGCTAAATGCTCAATTTTTGTCTTACCATATTTCTATCCTCATTATTCAAGAAATTAGAGAAGAAGGATAATCACAAAACATAAAGTTGCAAATTTTTATGTCGGAAATTTTAATCTGTCTTAAGTAATGAAGGTCTAAATTTTTTTTTTTTTATTTTGAAATGATATTATGATCAAATGTTATTGTTGTGTCATATAGACCCAAAGCTAGGTGGAAAAACCCAATTCATGAGTAAAAATATAGCATAATAGTAGAAAACAATAATAATAAGAATGCAACAATCCAATCCTATGTTACCACTGATGGTTTTAAATTTTATATTTAAATTCTTAGAATGATAATAAGTTGAAACTAGAGAGGGCAATAAGATGGATTGGATTTAAATTGGATCACTTCAAATTAAATTATTTCGTATTGAGAGAAATTTATGTCATTTTAAATTCAAGTTATAATGACTTCAAATCATTTCAAATTTCGATCATTTGATTTGATATTTGAGTTATTCAAATTAAAATAAATTTAAAATTTTCAGTTTGAATAATTTTAAAATCAAATTAATTTGGATGCGATACATTTCGACTTCGACTGATGAATTGAACAAAAAATAAAGTTAGGTCAATTTTGTCGACTTTAGATAAAAACCAATTTGCTTGGAATTCCTTTAGATGAAGAGTAAGGACTAAAAGGAAAAGGGAAAAAAGCAATGAAAAGCATACATTAACAGTGGCAAAGAAAAAAAATTAAAATTTGTCAGAGTTTGTCCATCATTTTGCACGCATCAAATAATGGTGAAGAAGTTGGCCTAATGTAGAGGACCAAAAGCATTGGGGGAGGGGCCATTGGCGACAAACATTTTGTGACCACCGAAAACCAATAGGGTAGAGAAGCATTCTTTTCCAAGTAGATAACAATTCTTTTCAAAAAAGGATTTGGCAAAAAAAAAAAAAAAAAGGGAAAGATAAAAGTGCTGGTGACATCTTTTTCAGCTGATTCTGATCGTAGTGTTTCTTTGCCACTGCTAGGCTGTAATGTTCACCACTAACCTCTTTCGTGCCCCACAAAAACATTCACTTTAAATTTCGTTAGACAAATTGTAGGGTTGCTTTCGTAAATAATAATAATAATAATATAAATTTATCTAAAAATCTTTTATGGTAACAACTAAAAAAGAACCTTTTTTTTTTTTTTTCTGTATAGTAGAAACAAAATTTTGACGAACACTCTTGACTAAACAGGCAATCTTAAATTTAGCTTCAAATTTTCAACTGAGTTTATCTTAATCTACTGTTTATACTTTTTTTAACAATTTAAATTATTTATTATTACATCAATTTTATCTACTTTGTTATTCGTAAGTAAAGTTCTTAACTTAAACTTTTGTAAAATTAATCATGAAACTGTAAAATTAAAACTGACAATTTTAGATATTGTTATGAAAAAAAATTGTGTTTGGATTTAATCAAATTGTATTTACAAATACAATAAATTTCATATCTTAGATGTGTTAAATATACTTAAAATGATTATGATATTTTAACACATTTAATTATTCATGTCTGTTTTTAATTGATATCATTTGGATTTATTATAATTGTCTTGTGATAGTTGATATTTGTAAACATTAATTATTTGAAAATTTTTAATATATGTTATATGGATACTATTGTATTAATAGTTTTAAATTTGAATAATTGATTTACAATTTCATTTTTTGTATATGGATTATAAAACCTAATTTTTGCAAGGTTTAAGTTGTTTATTTTTTAAAAGATAAATAGGTTAATAATTTTATTAAATCATGTCGTGTAGTATAAGTTTTAAATCAAATTATTTTAAACATGTAATCATATCATGTGATATAACGTTTAGAATTACCACTGCAAGAATTTAGTAATAGTATTTTGAGGAACTCAAATTGTTTAATTAACTTAAAATATATTTGTGCATAAAATGATAAATAAGATAAGATTATTATCATATTATTTTATGTTTAATATTTACATAAAATGAAGTATTAATCATTCTCTTAGTATAAGACGATTCACGCATCTTAATAAAAGGAAAATTATTTCTAATCTTGTAAGATTAGATAATACATGCTTATATATAACTTATTTTAACTCTAAAATATACATTTAAAATTTAATTTAAGCATTTGATAAGATGACATGTGCTATTGCTTAATTGGTTAACCTAAACAAATTTTTTGTCTTCCATTTTGTCTTTTTTGTTTTTTTTTTTTTTTACTTTTTCCCTCTTTTTCTTTTTTCTTTTTTTTTGGTTAATCTAAACTATTTTTTATTCCTTTTATTTTACAAAAGAGGTCAAGGTTGGGGGGAATTAGGGATGGGGAATTTGCAAATGCCAAGGAGCGAACCTAAGCTTTACAAGAATTCTATCCTAAGGGAGATGGGTGAATTATTTAAGCTAAACCCTAGTTTCATTTTTTATTATTTCTTTCTTATTTTCCTTTTCCATATTTCCCATTTTTTCCTTTTTTCCTTTTTTTTAATTTTTTGAACAAAAAAATAAATATAGTTTTGATAAAATTTAATTTTAAAAAATTTAATTTTTAGAAAATATTTAAATTTTAAATAATTTAAAAAAAATAAATTTAACACTTAAACATAAAAATTATTATAAATTATTTTTTTTACTTGAAAATTTTTGAATTATTAAATTTAACTTGAATTTTTTTTCTTCTTACATTTTTTCCTTTTTTTTCCTTCTTTTTTCTCTCTTTCTGGGAGAAGAAATGAAGAAAGAAGAAAGAAAAAAGAAAAATATACAAAATAAAAAAAATTAGATAAAATTATATTTTTATTTTTTTTGAAAAACTATATAAAAAAAAATAAAGAAATTATTTTCAAATTGAATTATATAAAAAAAAAAGAAAAGAAAAACAAGGTGTACCATGATTTGTTACTTAGGAACACATAGCTTATTTTGGGATATAATATTTTGGGGCATTTTTTTGGGGTTTATGCTCATATAGAGGTTACAGTGCGTAATATTGCAATGTATTATGTTCTTAAACTTATTCAATAAAGATAAATTTACTTTTAAGAAAAAATAAATAAATAAAAGAAAGAGAAAAAATGTTGTTAATAAAAATTAATTTTAGAAAATTGATTATTTTATTTAAAAATCAGTTTTTCTTGAACAATTTTAACTCTTAATTACATAAATTATTATAAAAATATATTTGAATTATATATTATAAATTTAAATTATATTTGTTTTAAACAAGGGTAATTTTGAGCAATGAAAAAAAATCATTTTATTTTACTCTTACACTATGTTTGGATCGAGGGAAGGGGAAAAAAAGAGAAAAATAAAGAAAAGTAATGGAAATAAAAAGACACTTTTTTTATTTAGATAAACTTTTAATTTAAAGAAAAGAAAAGATATGAAAACTCAATAAACTTTGGTTTCCCTTGTAATCCTTATTTTTTTAATATCTCAATTTGAGAGAAAACATAATTAAAGAAAAGTTGAAAAAATTTATTTTTATAAAAAGATTATTATATCCATATTTTTATGACACAAATACATGAATCACCACGTCTAATCTAGCATTCTAGCATATATTGTGATTATTTTCTTTTTGGATATATATAAATAAATAATAACATAGTAATAGATAATTAATAACTTAGTAATTAATAATTGAAAACTTAATGTAATCAGTATAACTTAGTAGTCATCATCAATAATTTAGTAGTAAATTAGTAACAACTTAATAGTAATGAATGATAATTAGTAGTCAATAGTTGATAACTTTTTAGTGAATCAACAATAATAAAATAATAAATGCATAATACTTTAATGGTAAATCAATTCTAATATAATAATAAATACATAATACAATAGTACTAAATCAAGGATAACTTTGGAAACTTAGTAATAAATCAATGATAATTTATTAGCAAATTAGTGATAATCTAATAGTAAATCAGGTTCAATTTAATAGTAATTAATTGATAGTAATTATTCATCAAAAACTTAAAAGTAAATCAATATAATTTAATAGTAGATCATCAATAACATAATGGTTAATCAATGATAACTTAATAGTAAATCATGCATAATTTAATATAAAACAGTAATAACTTAATAATGAATTATAAATAATTTAGTGATAAATCATTGATAATTTTGTGATAAATAAGTAGTAGATCAATGATACCATAATAGTAAATATATAAAAATATAATAATAAATTATTGATAATTTAATAGTAAATTGATAACTTAGTAGTAAATCACTATTAACCTAATAGCAAATTACTAATAATTTAATTATAAATTAGTGATAATTTAGTAATAAATTAGTTAATCATTGATAAATTTTTAGTAACTCATTGGTAAATTGTTAGTAAATCAGTTATAATTTTATAATAAATCATTAATAACTTAGTGGTAAATCACTAACAGTGATCGGTAAGTCATTCATAATTTAACGGCAAATTGTTAATAAATCATTAGCAAATCATTCATAAAATAGTAGTTTATCATTCATAGCTTAGTAGTAAATAATAGATAACTTAATTGTCAATCACTTATAACTTTTACAATACTTGAAGTTGCTAGGGATTGAACCTATGTACTAGCAGAAAATGAAGTCAAAACTTTTATTTTAGGGATTAAGATAAATCTACCATGAACATATTCAATAAAAAATTAGTGAAAAATTATAAACATAAATAAGACAATAATATTATTACATAAAAAAATTATATCATATATTATTAGTGGACTTTTAAATTTCATTTTTTATAGTTGTAAATGCATAAGTAAATCAATGATAGGTTAATAAAAAAAAATAAGTGATAACTTAGTAGTTAATAATTGATAATTTAATAATAAATCAATGATAACTTAATAGTAAATTAATGATAACTTAATAGTAAATTAGTTTTAATTTAATAGCAATTAATTGATAAATTTAGTAATAAAATCATAAATAACTTAATATTGAATCAATGATAATTTAGTAATTAATTATTGAAAACTTAAAAGTAAATCAATATAACTTAGAAGTAGTTAATTATCAATAACTTAATAGTTAATCAATGAGAATTTAATAGTAAATCATGGATAATTTAATATAAAACAATGATAACTTGATAATGAATTATGGTTAGTTTTATAAGAAATTTGTGATGATTTTGTAGTAAATAATCAAAAATTTAGTAGTAAATCAATGATAACATAGTAGTAAATGCATAATAATATAATAGTAAATCATTAATAATTTAGATGTAAATTATTGATAACTTAGTAGTAAATCACTAATAATTTAGTTATAAATAAGTGATAATTTAGCAATATATCATTGATAATTTAATAGTAAATTACAGATAATATAATAATAAATCAATAATAACTTAATTGTCAATCATTGATAACTTTTTATATTTGAAGTTTTCAAGAATTGAATCTTGGTTTTTGGTAGAAATGGAGTTAGAAATTTTATCTTGGGAGACTAGGATAAACTTACCATAAACCTATTCCATAAAAATATTTAGTGAAAAAAATTTTAAATTTGAATGAAACAATAATGTTATTTGTATAAAAAAATTTATCTTATCTAAAATTGAATATGTGCTTTCCCACAGGAATTCATTGTTAAATATATTATGACACAAAATTTATCAATAATTACGAAAAATAAATCGTAAGTTATCAAATTTATCAAAAATTACCAAAATTATATAAGTGGTTATCAAAATTATATCATAAGTTACCAAAATTATATCGAAGGTTACCAAAATTTTATTAAAATCAAAATTATATTAGAAGTTGTCAAAATTTACTTATATTATACCAAAATCAAAA